GGCTTTTGGGGTAGAAATTCTGGATTATTACATGGCCAGGTCATAATTCCTGTGTTCCATGTGTCCCACCCTTCCCAGCTTTGGAGCCCTGTGGTGCCTGAGCTCAGGATTCTTGTGCCAGGAGTGTGTTCAGGGGCAGCACGAGATAAAACACCTGCAGCAAATGCTTGTGTGCATTTATTTGCACAACACACATCCCTTGGAGTATCTTGCTGGCTCCCAGCACTTGGAGTGCTCTCCTGAAGGAAGGGGGGGGGTTATTTTGAGGAGCTGATGCCATCTGCTGAGCCCTGGGTTTGTTTTAAATAAGCTGGGCTGGTGTTGGCCAAAATCCAGGGACAAGGTTTGCAGCTCCTGGGAGCCACATATTGTTTTGGAGTGGTTACAGAGCAGGGATTGCTCAGTGCTGGCTTGAAAATCCCAAATGGTGATGGACCTTTCCAAGGCACCAGGAAAAAAACATCAGGGACCTGGTGTGGCTGTTCCATCGCTTCCCTCTGGATGTGATTCAACATCCAGCAGTGCCTGGAAGAATTTCCTGGTCTGTGCTAGACAGAAACACAGCTTTGTACTTCTGCTCTCTGAGTTTGGGGGTGATAGTTGTGACTTCTCATCACTGCACCCCTGGAAACCTGTAGAGTTTCCAGGCAGAGTCTATCAGGGTGTTAAGGGTTGAGTGTCCTGGGAATTCCAACACCAGTGAGTGGAAGCAAAGAATATAATGTTTTCCACCTTGAAAATTTGATTTTTAGCTTCCCTGAAACTGCAGTAACCAGCTGCTCTAATTCTTTAGTACTTTCTGTCCCAAAATACCAAATTACTGTCAGACTGGGTTTAGGACTTTGTGTAAACCTACACATGCAAAGATGTTCCCCTTTGCAGGAGTCAGGACACGTGTTATTCTGTTGCTCATGAAGTTTTTCCTGCTGGCTTTAGTTTGTGACATCTGGGTCTAAAGGAAGGAACCTCTGAAGGGGGAGAAAAGGAAAAAAAAAAAAGGCCAAATGGCTTTTGGAGCAGAAGCTTCTGCTCTGGGTGTTCAGAGCAGCTCTCAGGAGTGGTTGGTACCACACTGGTGAACCCCAAGGGTGTGTCTTGCTCTTCCTTTGTGCAGATATCATCATTCCTGAGAACGGGGAGCCCGTCAGCTCCAAGGACATCAAGTGTTGCATTAAACAGATCCAGGAACTGATTATTTCTCGGTTAAACCAAGCAGTTGCCAACAAGTTAATCAGCTCAGTGGACTATCTGAGGGAGAGCTTCGTGGGGACTCTGGAGAGGTGCCTCAAGAGCCTGGAGGAGTCCTGGGAGGTGTCAGTACATCCTGCAAGGAGCTTGGAGAAGCCCAAGGATGGTTCTGTGCACATCACGAGCAATTATCTCAAACAGGTACAAGGGCTGGAGTGGCTCTTTGGAGTTGTTTGTTGGCTCTCTCCTGACCCAGGGAGGGTGGTGGGAGATGGGGATGCCCAGGGAAATCAGAGCTCTGGAATATGTGGGGTTTGGGGTCGTTAAGGGAGGTGCTAAAACTGGGAACAGTCACTTGAGGGCCTAACACTTGATTTTCCTAAATCTGTATATAATGATGAGATTACAGCCTAGAAACACCTCTGAGCTCAGTGCAATAAATGAATTAACCAAGTGATTCGTGGGTTATGCCACAGAGCACCATTCTTTTTCGTTTTCAGAGGGTCCAGCAAAGTTTATGGCTTGCAGAGTTTCCCAGATTTACATCTTTTCCTGCTTTCCAGATCCTAAATGCAGCTTATCACGTCGAAGTCACTTTTCACTCTGGCTCAACAGTGACCAGGATGCTGTGGGAACAGATCAAACAGGTATGGGCACCTTCAGCAGTTATTCCTGAGGATTTCCATCCCCTGGAAGTGTCCAAGGCCAGGTTGGAGAGGGCTTGGAGCAACCTGGGCTAGTGGAAGGTGTCCCTGGGGGTGGTACAAGATGGGCTCGAAGGTCCCTTCTGACCCAAACCATTCTGAGATTCCATGATTTTAACATTTAATGTCAAGCAAAGACCTCCTGAGTGTTTTCTTGAGCAAAGGAATGAAGGGCCCTTTGAAACTCGTGACTGTTTGGAGTAATGTTGTTTATTTGGGTTTGTGGGTTTCTTGCGGGTTTTTGTTTGCTTGTTTTGCAGTGTATTTTGATTTAGGTCAATTCACTCTCCTCCCCCCAGAGCAGACCAGATTTGCTCTGGTTTTTATGTTAAATTTCTGTCTGTTAAACCATTGATGGTGGTGAAATCCCTGCTCTGAGCTGCTGCTGACCTTTATTGCCTTCTCCCTCTCGAGGTTCCTTGGCTGGCTGAGGGGAACACCACTCTGCCCCAAGGAGGTGCAGTGCAGACTGTCACAAACCTTCAGGCCCTCCTTCAGCCTGGCAGAGGAATCCAGCCTGGCTGTGCAGCCCCTGGATTTCTGTGGCCTCTAAGAAAGGGTGGGGCAGGGCAGTTGAATCACCCAGGAATTACGGGAAGTGGTGCATTCCAGCCCCTGGGATTTCCAGACCAGCAAAAAGAAGCTTCACTGTAGATTTTGCCACTTTGGGAGCCTCTCTCTCCCTGATTTTCTGGGCTCCTGCTCATGCTGCCAGTTCCCTCAGCCCAGAAGCTGCACCAGAGCCGTGTGGTTTTCCAGCTGGTGGCTGTTGGAGCAGTTCCTGGTCACATGGGGAGGGATGGTTGGATTGTAGGGATGAACTGAGCAGCTGCTCAGGCAAATCAGACCTCTTATTTAGTGTGACATGCAACAATAGTGGGATCAATGCCTCTGGGTTAGAATCATGGGATCCTGGAATGGTTTGGGTTGGAAGGGACCTTAAAGATCACCAAGTGCCACCCCTTTCCACGGGCAGGGACACCTCCCACTAGCCCAGGTTGCTCCAAGTTTATCCAACCTGGCCTTGGACACTTCAAGGGATCCAGGGGCAGCCACAGCTTCTCTGGGCACCCTGTGCCAGGGCCTGCCCACCCTCTGAGTCAATAATTAGCAGTTACTCCAAGGGGATTGTTTAGTCCAGCTCTGTGTGCAGGTGACCACGTCATTACCAGGTGTCTGAGCAAACCCACTGACCCTGCACTGCTTCTGTGCCAGTGCCTGAGTGCTGTGTCCTGTTCTCCCAGATAATCCAGCGGATCACATGGGTCAGCCCCCCTGCCATCACCAGTGACTGGAAGAGGAAGGTGGCCCAGGATGCCATCGAGAGCCTCAGCGCTTCCAAGCTGGCCAAGAGCATCTGCAGCCAGTTCAGGACCAGGCTCAACAGCTCCCACGAGGCTTTTGCAGCTTCCCTGCGGCAGGTGAGGCGTGGGCAGCTGTTCAGGAGGGTTTGTTTCGGGGCTGTGCCACTGAGGGGAAGGAATTTGGATTGCAGGAATAGCTGCAGGAGCAGCTGGTGCAGTTCATGCAGCCGTTCCGTGGGGAGAGGTGGCAGAGCTGAGGTGAGGGCTCTGACACAAGGTTTTATTTTTAAATTAGACATTCAGGGCCTCTGCACCTTGTTGCACTCTGGCTCCAGAGCAGCAGGGTGACAGGGGGTGGGTGGTGTCTCTTGCAGCTGGAGGATGGCCACTCTGGCAGGCTGGAGAGGACGGAGGACCTGTGGCTGAAGGTACGGAAGGATCACGCTCCCCGGCTCGCCCGGCTCTCCCTGGAGAGCAGATCCCTGCAGGATGTGCTGCTGCATGGTGAGCACCCTGCCTGCTGTTCCTGTGTTCCCACCCTCCCCTTCCTCCTGAGGCACTGGGAAGGAGTGGGAGGGCTGTTTTGCTCTTCACTCTGTGAGCCTCCTGCTGACACAGCCCCAGTGCCTTGGATGCTGCAGCTGTCCCGGGAAAGGCTCTGGGCTGCCAGGCTGGGAATGTGCAGGAGAAATCATAGAATCACAGAATCAGCTGGGTTGGAAGGGACCTCTGAGATCATCAAGTCCAACCCTTGATCCAA